TTTTTTTTTTTTTTTTTTTTTTTTTTTTTTTTTTTTTTTTTTAATTCTGGGGAGTTTGAACCCAAGGTCTCAAGTATGTTGAGCATGCTTTCTACCACTGAGCTACTCCCACAGCCTCAAGAAACATGAGCAATCAATTGGTATTTCCAGGTACCATGTTAGACTCTGAGGATAGGAAGGTAAGATTGATATGATCCTTGTCGTTATAGGACTTACAGTGTCAAGTGATTTTAGTGAGACATGGTCTCCAGTTTACTTTATAACTAAGAATGGTTGCCTTGTTTTCCTTTGATCACTTAAAGCAGTGGTTCTCAACCCATGGGTCCCAATCCTGTGGTGGGTGGGTTGAACAACCCTTTCTTTCACAGGGATCACCAAGACCCTTAGAAAACACAGATGTTTACATTACGAGGAACTATATCAAAGGGCCTTAGTATTAGGAAGGATGAGAGCCGCTGACTTAATGTCAGCTTTCTTGGGGTTTTCTGTTATTTAAAATTTATACTTTTCACTTACCTAATTTATGGTCTCTTCCATTTCTTGTCTGGAGAATTCTTAACTTGTGTGAGACATTTAAGTTTGGTGGGACTTGGGTTCTTTGCTTAAACATTTCTCAGATTTTACTGCAAAGACATCATTTTATAGTGGAAGAGTTGGTTTTTTGTTGTTGTTGTTGTTGTTTGTTTTGTTTTTTTACACTAGTCATGTACCTTAGTGCCTCAGCATTTGGGTTTTTGTTTTTTTGAGGCAGCCTCCTGAGTGCTGGGACTGTGCCACCATGCCAGGCTCAGTATTTGTGTTGTATGGATTCCTAGGAAAATTTCAAAAGGAAAAGGACTCTCTTTACTGTAGTTTGGTCTTTTAAAGATTACTGTTATTTATTTATTATTTAATATTAAAACAAGCTCCCAACAAATGGCTGTGAGGCAAATCAGGTGTGGTTTTCCTTTAGAAGATATGTGAAGGGTGACTTGTGTCACCATTTTTAAAATACTGTCCTAAACAAAAATTTAGAGCATTTTATTTCAGCTCGTGAGTGGCTGTTCTAAATCTGTTGTATGTTAGACATACTTTGAACTACCTCTTTACTTAAAATGGGGAAGTTTCCTTAATAAAAGTGTGACAATTAAACGGTGGTGTCATTGACTTATTTCCTTACTCTCTTCCCTCCCTTCTCGGTTGCTTGCATTTAAATTCAAGAATGTTTTTACTCTTTAAAACACATCTTAAGGATGGTGAGGGGCTGAAAAATGCGCTCATATTTCCCCAGCATGCAATGACCCTGGGGGAAATTATGAAGCTACTGAGAACACACACACACACACACACACACACACTCCTCAAATTGGAACTTTGTGAATTCTAAATTCTGCAAATGCAAAAGATAGGTACATCCTATTCCTAAGTGACCGTCTTCCCTTGATGTGGCATATATTTTGATGTGTAGGTTCAGTTTTGAAGATAAATTATTTCCAACTGGATGGCAATTTATTGAGGAGCAGCTTAGAGATCATGTGTAATCAGTATTAACCATTTCTGAAGGGTAACCGGCAAGGCCCCCAAAGGACTAGAAGACCCCCGGGCACTGTCCAGCAGCAGGCCTTGTACAGCAGGGTGAGGATGCCAGGCAGACACAGCAGGGCGCGCTGGCCGCAGGCCTTTCCTTTCGGCCCCGCCCACAGGGGAACGGACAGAAAAGACCCGGTTTGCCAGGATTCTGACGTTTTTTCTGTCATTCCAGGATTGGACAAAGTGAAGGGGGGAAAAAAAGCCGTTCAGGATGTCCTTCCGGGTCGTCCAGAGGGTCTCCGTAAAGAATAAAGCTGGTTGACACCGGAAGTGTTTCCTCTCGGCCGCGGTCCATCTTCCGGCCCTGGCCGCCGTTGCCGCGGAAGCCTCCAAGCCAGTTTTGTGAGTCGGTGAGTGAGAATGAGGGAGACACCCGGGGGGAGGCTGGAGGACGTGGCTGCGCAGCCAGGCGCGGCGTGGAGAACCGGGTGCGGTGCGGGGCAAGTGGCAGGCCGGCCGTGTGGGATTCACGTCAGCGGACTGTGTGCGGGCCGCTATGATCCCTGGAGATCACAGATCCGGAGCAAAAGATTCTCTGGGAGACGAGCAGTCCCGTTAGTCTCTGATTTAGGCTCAACGGAGCTAAAGCACGAGTTGGGAAGCGTGAATGTAATAGGCAAATGTGGATTTCGCATGGTTTTATCTGTACAATGATGAGTATATGGAAAACGGGCCAAGAGCGAGCTGTAAAAGGTGGGGTAGGTCGAAATCATGAAGGAGTTTGCATTCTTTGTGCAAGCACAAGGCTTTCCGGGAAGTAGGGGAGATGATAGACTTAAAGCATAAGAGGTTTTTTGTTTTTGTTTTCTCTTCCTCCCTTTATAACCATAATGTTAATTACGGTGGGAATTCAGGATGGTAGTTGAGAATATTAAAAGAGTGCTTTGTCAGGAGACCTGTTGAAAGTGATTACAATGGTCAAGGCACAACTAGGAACTTGTAGTAGTGGTGGGTGATAGGCAATTTGAAGATTACAGTTTCTAATTTAAGATGCTAAGTGAACTTTTTTGTGTCACTGTGTCTATTACTGGTATTTAAAAGTTATGTACTATGAGATGATACAGAGATGCATTATGACATTCTGGATTTATAGATGGTGATTTGGGGACAGATTCATCTCAAAGTGGAATTTAGGTCTTCATTTTTCCCAGTACACGTTAGGAAGGAAGTGGGGGACTCTTTACCATAATACCACGGGAAAGCATTGCCTGTCCTGTATCATGCTTGTGCTCTGTTTTGCATAGATTGTGACCATGGCTGCTGAGTCTGATGTTCTACACTTCCAGTTTGAACAGCAAGGAGATGTGGTCTTACAGAAAATGAATCTCTTGAGACAGCAGAATTTGTTTTGTGATGTATCAATTTATATTAATGATACTGAGTTCCAGGGGCACAAGGTGATTTTGGCTGCTTGCTCCACTTTCATGAGAGATCAGTTTTTACTCACACAGTCAAAACACGTCAGAATCACCATTCTGCAGAGTGCAGAAGTTGGAAGAAAGTTGTTGCTGTCCTGCTACACAGGAGCACTTGAAGTGAAAAGGAAAGAGCTTTTGAAATACTTGACTGCTGCCAGTTACCTTCAGATGGTTCACATTGTAGAAAAATGCACAGAAGCTTTGTCCAAGTATCTGGAAATTGATCTTTCCATGAAAAACAACCAACACACTGATTTTTGTCAGTCTTCGGATACAGATGTTAAGAATGAAGAAGAAAATTCTGATAAAGACTGTGAGATCATTGAAATTTCAGAAGATAGTCCTGTAAACCTAGATTTCCATGTTAAAGAAGAAGAAAGCAACACAATACAATCTGCCGTAGAGAGGTTGACATCAGAGCAACGGGGAATGAAGTCACCAGAGCTCTCGACAGTGGACAGTGGGTTTAAAGAGAATGAAATTTGTATCCTCCATGTAGAATCGATCAGTTCAGATGGTGTAGAGAATGGGCAATTTTCACAGCCGTGTACCTCCTCCAAAGCAGGCATGTATTTTCCTGAAACACAGCATTCACTGATCAATTCTACAGTTGAGAGCAGAGTGGCAGAAGTTCCCGGAAGTCAAGATCAAGGGTTATTTTGTGAGAATACTAATGGGAATCATGGCACAGTAAATGAGATCCAGAATCTGGATGAGAATTTCTCATTGAGGCACCAGTGCCCCAGGTGTCCAAGGGGCTTTCTTCACGTAGAAAACTATCTGAGACACCTTAAGATGCATAAACTGTTTTTGTGCTTGCAGTGTGGGAAAACATTTACACAGAAGAAAAATCTCAACCGGCATATTCGAGGACACATGGGTATACGACCCTTTCAGTGTACTGTGTGCTTGAAGACCTTCACTGCTAAAAGTACACTTCAGGACCACTTGAACATACACAGTGGGGACCGGCCATATAAATGCCATTGTTGTGATATGGATTTCAAACACAAATCTGCTCTCAAAAAGCACTTAACCTCTGTTCATGGCAGAAGCAGTGGTGAAAAACTATCTAGGCCTGATCTCAAAAGACAGAATCTACTGTAATCAAATCATGAACTTTGGACGTAAGCATAGGATTACTCTGTTAGGCATGTCTGTTTTTAAAGATGTATCATTGGTAGTGTCCCCGCCCCCCAAACTTTAGCTTTCATTTTGTTCTTCCTACGTGTTAATTCATTCTGAATTTCTAATTTCACAGTTGTGAGTGGAGTGGTTAAGTTTATGGGATACTACATTGTCTCAAACATTAGGTATTAGTCCTCTGTTCGGCAGTAATTGCAGATTCTGATTTGTAGTTTTTAGATTAGAGATTTAATGTTGAGTCTAACTGTATAGTAACTTTAATGAGTTAGAATGACAAGAAAATAGATTTGAAAGCATAGTGTCATCCATTACTATTAATTTTGACAATAGATAAGACTAACAATTTTCTTTTTAATGTTTACCCAGTGTACTTGGATTATAGCTAGAAGACTAGGTTACTGTTTTAAACTAAAGGAGCACAAGAGTCACATGGGACCAGCAGAATGTCCTTAGAATTGCATTTTTTAAATATCCAAGAGAATTTGTAATTAGACCCTATTTCTGATTACATATAATATAGTTGGATTAAGAATTCTGTGGCTAATGCAAGTATTTTGTTGGCTTAGATTAGAAAGTTATTTTTCTTAAATATTAGTTTTATTGATGACATCTGTTCTACTGTTTACGGAGTGTTCTGTTTTGCTTTGTTTTTGTTAACATGTACTAAAATTGACCTTTCTCTGAGAAGTTATATTTCTGTGAATTTAACACATATAATAACTTTCTGTAAGTTGGATTCAGAACAGTTCCACCACCTTCCAGAATGCCCTTATGCTCCTCCGTTGTCCACCCTTCCAACTCTAAATTCTAGTAAGGGTTCATCACTATAATTTGTTCAAATCTGGGATGATACGAAACTGGAATCTTCTAGTATGTTCCCATTTGGTATGTTTATTTTTACCCAATATAATGCCTTCGAGCTTCATTTATGTGTATATTAACAAATCAGTTTTAATAATACGTTTTGTTTTACTTTTGATGTGATTTGTATAGCCAGGCTGGCCTTGAATTTGCCTCACTTCTTGAACACTGGGATCAAGCCTAGTCCCTTTTCTGTTTTGAATTGCCTATATATACATTTTCTTTTCAAGCAGTAACCAGGTGACTAGTTTAAATTTAGAAAGCTACTATAATGGTGGCACATGTCTTTCATCCTAGCACACGGGAGGCAGAAGCAGGCTGATCTCTGTGAGTTCGAGGCCAGCCTGGTCTACAGAGTGAGTTCCAGGACCAAAAAAAGAAAAAAAAGGAAAAGAAAGAAAGCTGCTATAATTAGTTATAATGTCTCATTTATATGAATATCTTTAAATTCAAAATGTTTTGCCCTTACCGTGAAGAGCAAACTTCACAGCAGGGAAAATCACCTTCTCTTACTGTAGGAAGCACTCTTTTTTTTTTTTTTTTTTTTTTTTTTTTTTTTCCAGACAGGGTTTCTTTGTCTTGCTTGAAGCCTGTCCTAGAACTTGCTTTGTAGACCCAGCTGCCCTCACACTCAGAGATCTACCTATCTCTGCCTCCCGAGTGCTGGGATTAAAGGAGTGTGACACCACTGCCACCACCTGGCTTCACTTTCTTCCTTTTTTTTTTTAATAAATTTTTTATTGAAATTAAAAACAATCTTAATTTACATGCCAATCCCAGTTCCCTCTCCCTCTCATCCTCCTGTGCACCCCACCAACCCCTCATCCCAGGCCACCATCCACTCCCCAGGGAGGGTGAGGCCTCCCATTGGGGATCATCAAAGTCTGTCACATCATTTGGGGGTGGTATCTAGGTTAAAAGAGTAACCCTTCATAGGGAATGGCCTCCCGGATTCCATTCGTGCACTAGGGATAAATACTGGTTCCACTGCCAGAGGCCCCATAGACTGCCAAGGCCTCCCAAATGACACCCACGTTCAGGGTGCTGGTTCAGTCTTATGCTGGTTCCCCAGCTGTCAGACTGGGGTCTATGAGCTCCCACTTGTTCAGGTCAGCTGTGTTTCCCCAGCATGGTCTTGACCCCTTTGCTTATCACTCCTCCCTCTCTACAAGCACTCAATTTCAAGCTGTCCTCTTTCTCTACATAACTCAGCTCCATAAAGAGTTTCTACGGTATTTAAGTTTTGTTGACACTCACAGCTCATGATTTAACATGTAATATACTTTGTACTATAAAAGTTTTTTGTGAAAATCATGTTAAGTGTTAAATACAATTTTTGTATACTTTTGTGAGAATAATGCTCTGCATAGAATTTTAACTCCGGGAGAGACTTTAAAGAATCTATGTCTCACAATTGACTTCATATCCCAAGTTACTAATTAATTAATGACATTGAACTGGTCACCTCTCCTTCATCTTTTCTAAATTTTATATAAAATAACTTTGATCTTCATAATTTGTAGAATGATTTCTACATCTAAATTTCTACAAGTTTATATTCTTCATGTGAAGAGACATTGATGTCTTTATGAACACTATTTGAGTACTGTCTTGGAGACACTTTTCTTTTTTGGTTTTTTTGAGACAGGGTTTCTCTGTGTAGCTTTGAAGCCAATCCTGGCACTCGCTCTGGAGACCAGGCTGGCCCCAAATTCACAGAGATCCACCTGCCTCTGCCTCCCAAGTTCTGGGATTACAGGCTTGCGCCACCAACGCCCGGGCTTGGAGACGCTTTTCTAAGGTGAACATTTTTTTCCACTGGAGAATGGCCCAGTTCAGTGGCTAATTTCTTTTCCCACATGACTTAAGTATGGCCAATTATAGTTGTGAAAGTATTTCCCTCTGAGAAATTGTTTACTCGTGACTGAAGTGCTTCTCTTAATTTTGCTTCTTGAGTGAATTTTGGAGGGGAGGACTAGGGATGGGTGGAGAGGGTAAACTATAGTTAAAAAAAAACCTGATTTTTATTTTTAGGAAGTGGTATCTACTATATTGGATGTTGGGACATTTTAAAGGTGTTTAAGTTTGGTGTGTGCCTTGTAAGATTGTTGAAAATTTTTGTGAGCACTTTGAAATTTTTGCTTGTCGGGGGGAGGGGGGGTAGTTATATAAAGTTATTGTTATTTATACTATTTATTTCTGTTAAGTGGACAGATTGATTTCTAAACATTCCTAGGAATTGAATGAAGTGTGTATGCCTGTCTGTAATCCCAGCATTTGGGAAGTAGAGGCAAGAGAATCGATTCAGGGCTAGCTTTCATTACAGAGCTAAGTTTGTGGCCAGCCTCAGCTACCACAGGAGACCTTGTTTCAGGAAAACAAAGCAAAAACAAAAGTAAACAAAAACATTCCTAGGAGAGTATCTGTTTGCATGACATGTCTGAAAAATTCAGCCACCTAGAATCTGTTAAAATATGCAGGTATGACAAGGTGTAGAATTTATTAATTTTTAACTACTTTTAGATGTTTATAATATGACAGAAAATATGTTTGGGTTGTTCTTTTATTTACTGAATTTATATATGTAAAATATCTTGAAAAGGTAGTTATTTTGTTTCAGAGAAAACCCTTTCCTCTTTGGATGTAATGATGTTTGTATAAAACATAATAAACTGGAGGTGGGAATGGAGAACTTTGGTCTTGTGTTTTTCTATTAATTTTAAAGGACTCAATTTCTTTTTGGTAATAATATTTCTAAAAATTGTGCCTGTGATTTGTTGTTCTTTTTTAACTTACATGTATTGTGTAGGCACCTACTTGCTGGAAGCTTTGGGTCCTCTCCTGGAGCTCCAGTTATAGGCATTGTGAGCTACTGGATGGGGGATCTGGGAACTGTGCAGGAGTTGTAGGCTACATTAACCTCTGAGCAATCTATCCAGCCCAAGGACTCAGTTACTCCTGCTATTTAGTCATTTTAGAAATACCTACTGGGTTTCTTTATATCTGTACTAAAAGTTAAGTAAACAAAATACCAGCTGTCTTGGGGTTTCTATTTTAGTGGAGGTTGGCAAACTGTGCCAGGGATAAATAATGATAGGGAAAAGAAGATGGGATTGTTACTTTAAACAGGTTTTTTTTTTTTCCACATTTGGGGAATTTATCTTTCCTTTGTGAAATGGATGAGTATATCTAATGGGAACAGAATGGAAAATGCACACATATATCTCTAGTACACAGTAGGTTACGAAATGTATATATATAAAAAAAATTTTTATCACTGTCCAGTTGAAAATACAGAAATGTACACCGAATGGGGAATTTTCTCTTTTGATTAGCATAACTGAATGAAAATAGGAATAACAAGTGGAAGATTGGTGAAGCCAATGAACCTTTTACAAAAATCCTGTTCTTTTTTTTTTTTTTTTTCAAGCTTTAAGTTCCTTTCTGGAGCTGCAGTTGCAGGTAATGGTGAGCTGCTGTGATTATGGAGGGTGTATGTGTATACAAATTTTGGGGAGAATTCTTGCTGTACAGCTCAGCCTTTCAATTGTTGGGTTCACAGGCATACATTCATCACACCTGGCTTATAAATCATGTATTTTAAATGCTCATTATCAAAGTCATTTCCATATTCTAGTTTATTTACAAGTTACTATTACAGATTTCTTTTTTTTTGTTGAACATCTCATTTCACATTGGAAAATGTGAGTTTGATTACAAAGCGTGAGTGACCATTAACCTCTATGCTTCAGTTGTACATCATTTACAAAGGTCACACACTATCAATCTTTCAGTACTACTCTGGTAAGTAAAACTAAAATACATCCTTATCATACAGCCTGGCATAAGTAGTTAGTAATTGTTGCTTTCCTCGTCCTCATTCCCAGTGTGTCTTCATTTATAAGAACATAAAGGATAATTCCCACTTTACAGATTGCTATAAATCCTCTAACAAATAAATACTGTCAAAACGCCAGAACTTGTAAATTTTTGGTCCTTTTGAGGCTTGTGGGATTTTAGATGAGGTAGGCAAAACGTTTCACTTTTGTCCTGGTTTTTGTAGACTGGAATATTATTTGCTAGTCTGATCAGTATCTCACAGGAGAGCGCAGTAGGATGTAACAGAGATGGAAGTTTAACATTGGTTCCACCACACCAGCAGCCCGGTTCCAGGCTTAGATGGTTGCGCAGGGAGTTTCCCATGAGTCTCCTTGGCTTGCCTAGTCCTTACAGCATCTCCCACAGTCCTCTGGGGCTCCCCTGTCATGTGACGAGGCTGGCTCTCTTCTTTAGAGGGAAACTGATGCGCAGTTTGGGGGGGGGGGCATTACGCATCCCTTCCACCCCAACTCCCGGGCTTGCGTAATCTCGCGTGAAGTGAACAGTATCTTCTCGCGAGAACTAAGTCGGGATCCCTCCAGGTCCGCCTCCGTGGTGAGGAGGAGGAGGAGAAGGAGGAGGAGGCGGAGGGAGGGAGGAGGAGGAGGCC